AACCTGGCTATTGCGCTGCAATACCAAGGAAAGTACATTGAATCAGAGACCATGCATCGGCGTGCACTGGAGGGACGCACGAAGGTTCTCGGACCAGACCACCCCGACACCTTAAAAAGCCTCAACAACCTGGCTATTGTGCTGGAATCCCAAGGAAAGTCTGGCGAATCAGAGGCGTTGAGGCGGCATACTCGAGTACATGGCTGAGGCTGCCAAAAAAAAAACCGGACAATGCATGGTTGCAACCTGTAGAGATCCGATTGACCTTACTTTTTCTACGACTCACACGTCCGGAAGCGCGATGCTCCGCAATGCGATTCACCATGTCGCATGTTGTTCGCCTGGACCAGGGGTGACCTAATTGGGCTACTGATTTCCACAAATGTGGGAGGCTGTTGTAATCTACCAGGGCAATCGGACGATGTGCGCAACTAACCAGAATTAAGAGTGAGAGGTAGTGGCGGATAATAAAACTATTGGCTATGATCGTGAGAGAGTGTCTTATGGTTCTTGTCATTCCTGTGCTCATCCCCGGAGTCCTATATATACACATTTTATCCTCCTAATACCAGGTCTGAATCCTTTCTCTCACCCACTAGAAACTTCCTTCACACATAACTAGCATCGCTTGGCCTTCATCGTGCCACATACAATTGTCTCAACTCTGCACTAGTCCCTTAATCTCTAACTCAACAACCATCACCATCGTTTCCGAATCCTCCAAACCCTCTTCCAGACAAACTGTGCTTCACCACCTGACCTGTCTCAGGCTCATAATGTGTTCCATATCTTGACCCTTGATATGCACGCCTAACAACCTTAGAACTATAAGACTCTTTGACTACATTCTCTCTAACATATGTAAAACTTTTCATGCCACACTAGGGAGATGGAACCTTCACGGATTTCAACAGCGGACTATTGAATTATTTGTTACAAGAGATATTCGTCTATCGATGAAGGATTGAAAATTCCACCATTTTGTTTTCTGTGGCTTCCGGTCTAGTTCCGTGTATTTGTTCATTTTCATAGCGAATTATATTTTCTGCCCTATCACCCCGTAAGATCTTGGCAGCCACCCTGTTTCCCTACAGAATCATAAGAGGTCACTTCTTAGTTAATGGCGTCATCTGCCAAATTTGTAAGTGTGAAGGCGCGACCAGAATTGCCCCCGGAACCCCAGGCTCTACCGCCTGCATCTTTCCCAATAAGAATTTTGCAACCTTATGTTCTAAGTCGCTAGGACAGCTAGAGCAAGGCTGTCGTCTCCTCCATGCTTCCGCCAGTGGCCCGGGGCCAAATCCCCACTTCGACTAATCAGACTACCAATTGCAATCTGCCAATCTCCTGCTCTCACGGCTGACAGAGCGCCTTGCCTCACACGCTGTAAACCAGACAAGACCCTGAGGACTGTCTACTCGTACAACCCAGCCATGCCATCGCGATCCCAGGTAAACTGAGACCGCTTAGAGCCGATATGTTTTCCCGCATCGCATGAGACCGGAATAGTTCCCGAACCATATTGTGACGGGATTCTGCTAACTACTGCCAACCCAACCAAGCCTGCCTCCATAAAAAGGTAATCATGACGAGCAAGAAGCCACCACTCCAGGTGTTCTAGAGGCCAAGGAGCAAACAGCAGACCCCAACCATCCTACCACACCCGGCACCCGTAACCGGTCGGCCTCCCCGGCCACACCTGGATGGCCCTGGAATTTCCGGCAGTTGGCCTAGCAGGCACAGCCGATCCCAGTAGACTTCCGAGTGACAGTACATGATTGCCTCACTTGATGATCCCAGGACATATATACATCGACATAGATTGAACTGGGCACTGCTGTATGTGCCAATGGCGTCTGCACATAAGTGCCTACAATGGGTGATATGTTATCTTCGCCCTGATTCCTTAGGTGGGTTAGGGTTGAAAGACCCCCGGGTGCGGGTCTTGGTGTAAATCCAGAGTGTGGGCTCAAATGCTCGCCTAAACAATTGTGCCCTCAATCGGACCATCAGGGTAATAAAAAAGAAGAAATAGTTTGATGTGGAACTGCTATGAAGGGCGCTTGTTGAGACACGTGGCTGGGTATATGCGAGGAGGAAAACGGATTCGAGGTTCGGGATAATACCGAAGTGGTCGTGGAAAAAGGCCTTGTGATCATAGAATAATTATTAACGTAGGGGTAATTTTTTTGCTCTTCCCGGTTATACGAGCTGATGCAGCATCGTCCCTGGTCTCAGATTTCTGAACTTCCCTCAGCCCTTTTTTATTATATTCCTTTCGTGCGTACGAAGTTAGCTTCGGAGATTCCCTTGCTTTGGCGGGTATTCAGGAATACCAGTAGAGCGCGGTTGGTGCTTGATGGTATATATCTACTGGCTATCTGATAACTAGTACCAAAATACATACTGTACTACCTACTCTGGATATCTCAAGACTTACCGCCGAAGGCAGACACTTATAAAACTTGGCTTACGGAGCTAAGGTGAGTCTCACTTTGACCTTTCCTGGCCGTACGATATATCTACCATATGTGTATTAGCTGGTAGGCTTAGCGGCTTGCGAGGCCTCTCGAACACAGACCATACAAATTACATTATGATCGAAAACCTCACCCCCGCATTCAACGGCTGGGGAAATCATTCAGAGGCACGAAAGCTACGGGGGTTGATACTGCAAGGCAGAAAGAAGGCACTTTTTGCACGGGAACTTCTTTCTAGCTGTGAACCCCATACCGGATCATCCACCCTACCGTTCCTCGCTGACAAAGAAAAACGCGCCTTGATCCCCCGTGGGTTGCTTAGTCAGCATCCGCGTTCTTATCGGTCTGATAGCCTCACTTTAAGTTACCTATATGCCCCGCTAAGTTACCTGGCGATAGCATCGCACCCTTTCTCCCGCGACAGAAGCCACGACTAGTGGACACCGCCGGCCTCTAACTTCACTACCGCATTATCTGGTGAGAACTGGCAGCCGCCTTTACCTCGAAATCAGAAGCGGCTCTGGTGAAACCTACAACCGCAGCGAAACTATCGGCGCGAAAGGGTTGGTTCTGGCTATAATGAGTTAGGATGTGGCGTTTTATCGCATTTTGAAGGTAAAGCAAGGATACAAACTTTATTTGAATATACTTAGCCCCCTAACGGTTCTCACTAGATAATACGGCATATCGCGTACCGGGGCATCTATCCATTTCCTACATCCCACACTAACACCCGAAATCGGCCACTGGCAGTAATGTACTCGGGTATGGACGTGGGATACCGGACAGCCAGGGATTAGAGGTGTCAAAGCTTCTTGCTTGTTCGAGCAATTCTCATGCCAGACTCATTCCTTTATTTCCTATGAGGGCAAGGACGGTCAGGCCTCTAGAATCCCTGGCTGTCCGGTATCCCACGTCCACACCCGAGTACCTCGCGGACTCGACTCGGCTGCGCTCTCCACCTCGGCCAGGAAATTTTTAACCGGCGCGACGGCGGTCTTATCCAGTATTGCTACCAACACCCCGGGGATTTGGCTGCGCTCTTTACTTCGGCTATACCCTTATAATATCCTAGGGCTAAGTCTTTCTATCCGGAATTTTTTAACTGGAACGAAGGCAGCCTCCCTGCATTACTACCAACACACTCCGCTTTGGATTGATCCTCCACGTCCCCAGCAGCACCCCGGGTGAACCGCTAATCCTGCGATAATGGGGGTGTTTCGTGGTGAGGTAGGGAAAACGG